GGGAGGCTGAGGCAGGAGAATTGCTTGAACCCAGGAGGCGGAGATTGCAGTGAGCCGAGATTGTGCCCCTGCACTCCAGCCTGGCACCTGGCGACAGGGCAAGATGCTGTCTAAAAAAAAAAAAAAAAAAAAGTGTGGAATGAGAGAAAATATACCATGGAAATCTATCAGTTATCTTTCTCCTTTCACCTGCCTCACCTTTGTCAAGGTACTTAAACCTGGGCTTGGTGTCCACGCCTGCAAAACAGCACTTTGAAACAGGGTCAAATGAAAACTGTGAAGAGCCAGGTTTGTTGACTGTAGCCAGTGCTTGGTTACCGTCCAGCAAATGCTTCTCCCACACCATTCCGGAGCATTTCCTTGTCCGTGCAGCCCCAGCCCCCACCTTCCCATAGAACCGAGGTCGGAATCTCCCAAAGTTGCCCGGCTGAGCGGCAGCACCTCAGCAATGCCACTGGGACCGTCCGCCAGTTCTGGCTCAGACAGAAAGCACCAAATACAATCTCCTCCCACGTTCCCACATGTGGAAATGGAACCCTGACTCCTGGCTAGGTGCCTTCCACTACAGTGAACCACCTCTGTCGGAAATGAGCATAAAAACCATGCTGAAACCAGCCAAAAACGCGGGAGGCCTCTAGACAGGTACTGAACACACAGCGCAAAATGACTGTTGCTGCTTCCCACCAGCTGCTGGTATTTGAGGGTCCAGGGAGGGAATTCATGGGAAAGGCCAAGGTCTGCACAACGTGATTTCTTGGATTTTCCCAGTAAAATTCTGCTGCCAGTTCTAGGGTTGGGAAGTTCATCCCAGGGCTCCCTGTCGGATTCTGATAGGCTGGTGGGGTCGATGTGGGGGATACTCTCTGGCTAATGTCCTGATCCCAAACATCTGAGATACATCCTGCCAGGAATCCCCTCTCCATGGTGGCCCTGGGAGGAACCACTGATGTGTAGAGTGAGGTTTCTGGGCAGTAAATTTATTTCCCCCATCTGTAAAATCTGTGACAGAGATCCTATTTTTGAGGGTTCCATAATTTCACTTTGGGGCATGAAGGAGGAGGTCCCTGACTGTTGCCTTCTCACGGTCTGAAGGCTTTATAAGAACACTGACTTCCTCATTCATTTTTCCTGGTCACAGCCAGGAATATGAATTAATTCGTTATTCAGCACATTTTAAAGCAGCACTAATTGTGTGCAAGCCATTACTGAGGTGCTGGAGACACTGCAGTAAGTAAGATGGGGCAGCCCCTGCCCCCATGGGGTTTACAGCCTTGCAGGGAAGTCAGATAACAACCAACCAACCAAGATCAGCGTATGTGCTGAGTGCTATGAAGCACACAGAGACGGTGGGACTGGGAAGGAAGCAGGGAGTGTGGGGCTGCTTTATTTATGTTTTTAACTTGATTTTGAAATACTTTTAGATGATTTAGATCTAAAGGGAGCATGAATAGTACAGAGACTTCCCATACATTCTTTCCCTGATAGCTTCCCCTAATGATAGCATCTAACGTAACCAATCTGTAGTATAAGAAAACCAGGAAATTGATATTGATGCAAAACCATTAACTAAATCCAGACTTTTCTCTAATTTTACCAACTGTCCTACTAATAGCATTTTTCTGTCAAGGATTCAATCTGGGATCCCATGTTATTCATACCTTTAGTGTCATTTTCCCTTGGGTACCTCTGATGTGACAACTGCTCAGTC